TGGTAAAAGGTTTATTTTTAGATGGAGTGTGAAAGTTGCAGTAGGCGGTCGACTTTCTAGCTCCCTTGTGAAAGTGATTCTCTCTGTACGAACATTATTTGGATTGCCTATCGCCAACTTTCTTCTACTATGCCGGCTCTATTATTAAAGCAATTTCCAGTTTTAATAGAAAATCTTCTATTCCTTCTTATTGTGCTCCCTTAGCCGGAACTTTTTTTTTTTTTTTTTTATTTCTTAAAAGTTCTTCCTTCTAGCTTTTGGACTATTTCCAGAATGTAAATGGAGATAGCACTGAATGGACAGAAAAGCCTAATTTTACAAGAACCACCACAGGAAACTTTTTCAGAGATTTTTTTTTTTCCATTGAGACGATAAATTTGTTATTAAGGATAGTGTAAAAATTCAATTTTCTCTTTTTAAAAAAATAATTATACTTTTTATGACATTGCTTGATATTTATCTTAATGTAAAATATTGATTATGATTACAATCCTATTGGAAATAGATAATAAAGCTGGAGTAAATTTTAAGTTTCTTGTCTAATTCTGTCGAGTTGTCAGGTAAAATGATATAAATATTGAATTTAGATAAAATTCAAATGTGTTTCATAGTATAACGACTTTTATAATTAATGTAATGATTTTCGTCTCTATGTATTAATACTTAGATTTATTAATACTTTGATAATGATTAATCAAAACTTGTATGTTCTTTTGGATTCAAGGGGAATGGGGTCTTCCGGGTAGAAACCGTTCCTTTCTCTAAAATAAGAAAATAATTCGTTTTAAATTGGTCCATCTTTGTTTTCACTAGTGAGCAAACGATAAGACCCAAACACTTAAAAATCAAAACATTTTTAAGACTATTAAAATATACTATTAAAACCATAAAATATGTACTTAAACAACTAAATTAAATGTTAGCATGTGTTAAGAAAAAAATATAACTTTTTTCTCTAAAATCATTATTGTTCCTGATATTAAAATAATAAAAAAAATAAAATCTTGAATCCATTATTTGGCCATTCGCTAGGAATTATAAAACCTTTGTTACAGTTGTATTCTGCTATATTATTTGACTCGCTTATACCCTAAGTGAATCCAATCAATTTTAATCCAAATAAAGATAAAATCCAATATAAAAATTTCCAATGAATCCAATTTTGCGATTTTTTTTTTTCAAAAACGAATCTAAATATTGACCAATTTTATTAAGTTTATTTCCGAAACTGTTCTTAATTAATATTTTGTTTTTCAAGAAATTTAATGAAACGTTTTACTGAAGTATTCTCGAAAATAAAAATTCATCAAACACTTTTTTAACAGTTTTATTCAGAAGAAAATTAAAAAATAATTAATTTTATCGTGACATTATTAAAAAAAAAAAATCAATTTTTATAATTCCTCCCTCTTCCCTCCCCCAACTAAAGAATTTTTTTTGTCCAATCACTGGGCTTGAAGTTTATTTCTTTCCAAAAGGTCCTTTGTTCAAATTTTAATATTGTTTAATTCCTACTGGAATAATCAGTGATTTTCAGAACTATATTCTACTAATAAAGTATTTCTTATTATTTTTTTTTTTTTTATGTTTGTCCTGATGTTAAAATTAGAATAGAAAATAATGTTTACCTCCTTTTCTATACCTTTTATATTTTTCTGTTGGCTTATTTACTTTCTATATTAGTCCGTGGTATAATTTTTATCAAATTAGAAACATCCGTCTCAAACTTCGTAAATAGCTTCATCTCACCGTAACCTACAAATACTTTATTTACAGAAATTCTCGGAATTGTGGCGTTTTCAATCTGGAGGTTCGCAAACTTTGTCTATTTAATTGGGTACTAAAAACTCATTTGCTTTCCACTTGAATCGTAAGGTAATTTGGGTACAAAGTCGAGAAAAAAGGTGGCCTTCAAAATTATTGAGCCGTTTGGCGTTAACTATACTCTCAAATTGTCAAAATAACGAGGTTATATAGACCATGCGCCACAATATTTTTGTAGGCCACCTTTTTTATAGATTTTTACATCGAATTATCTTACTATCCAAGTGCAAAGAAAATGGTTATTTACGAGTTTCTAGTACCTATTTAAATAGATAAAAAGTTTAGTACCAAATTAAGTTAAATAGACAAAATTCATCTCTATAGGATGTCTTTATAAGTAAGAAAAATAAAACAATATTATGCTGTATCGTCATATGTAAAAGTTCATCCTGAGATAGGAAGAGCGAGCGTATCGCAAGGACAGAGAAGAGGTCTGTGGCTGTGGATGACATGCTGGTTGGAGAAGTCATAAAGACAGGACTTGAAACAGCTAACTCTCCCCTGTATATTTAAGGGCTAAGGTTTTAAACTTTCGAATTTTCTCTCCAACTTAAGAGTGGCTGGGACTTCACTTTTTCATTAAGTTCCTCTCCCTCGTATCGACTCCCCGCCCCTCCCTCTTTCTCTAAAATTAATCATACTCATCTGGGAGGAGGAGTGATTTTCTTTTCTATTTTTTTTTAAGTTGTTCAGGATTGTGAATGTTATGCGTCACGATTTTTTAAAACAGGTACAGTATTCAGTAAACATTTTAGGATAGAAAAAGGAATTATATTAACGTTTTCAATAATTTCGCTAAAATATAGAAATAAAAAATTATGACTTCAGAGCCAAATACATCAAATGGAATTTTGAGAATCGTTTAATTTCCATCTTCAATATGGTTGTAAGGCTAGAAAAGTACATTTAAGACTCACCAACGAAAATGAAAACGTTGCCACAACCCATTTGTAGGAGTTGAAATATTCTTTCTAAATATGTAGTCCGTGTTATAGACCCCTTTTAATAAAATTATTTACATTCGGCTGAAACTTCGTAAATAGCTTCAATTCATCGAAACCTATATACATTTTATTTACGAAAATTCTTGGAATTGGGGCGTTTTTATCTGTAGATCGGTATATTTTGTCTATTTAATTAGGTAACAAAAACTCGTAAATACCCATTTGCTATCCACTTTAATCGTAAGATAACTTGAGCACAAAGTTGAGAAAAAAGGTGGCCTTGAAAAATATTGCGTCATTTGGCGTGACCTGCACCCCCAAATTTTCAAAATAACGAGGTTATGTAAGCCAAACGGTTCAATATTTTTTAAGGGCACCTTGTTTATTGACTTTGTGCTCAAGTTATCTTACGAATTAGAATGAAAATGGTTATTTACGAGTTTTTATTACCTAATTAAATAGACAAAGTTTGCTGACCTCCAGATTGAAAACGCCCCATCTAAGAATTTTCATAAATAAAATGTTTTAGATTACGATGAGATGAAGTTATTTACGAAGTTTCAGGCGGATGTTAATAATTTGATTAAAAGGAGTCTGTACCACGGACTTATGTCTCAGACTAAGATTTACTACCATGCATTCGTATCTTTTCAAAATCAAACAACTAAATCATTTCAATTCGTTAAAAAAAAAAATGTCGCAATATTAAGCAGTTATTTTAACTCCTCAGATTTGTGAACAGGATATTTCAGTTTTACCTCGCAAAATAGTCAACATTTAGAGGAAAAAAACTTGAGTATTCCAAAAATGTCACCAATAAGTTTATGTCGCGTTTTTATTTATTTTTTATTCTAATTTTCTTTTACTGAACTTTTACCTTTCTTTACAATCGAAAAAAAATTTATTACTAGAAAAAAAAAAATTTAGTATTTCTTTTGTTTAATATTTTCTATGATGAACTTTGGTAATAACTCGCAAAAAAAAAAAAATTAAATCCTACTCTAAACTTGTGGAAATTTAATTTTAACCATCTGAATCCGTTGTAAGGCCCTAGTTTATGCGATTAGGAACGTGTTAATTCATGAACATGTTTATCCAAATTATATTAAGCATTGTATATAATATTGTGAATATTATAGACATAACCAATCGGGTTGATAGTATGTGATTTGGAAGCAAATACATTAACCAAAAGCCGGACGAAAGATATTAAAAGCAAAAGTTCATACAGAGCAGCAGGAGCGGGTCCTAGCTGAGTGGTTTGTCCTCCTTTCTCCAATAACACTCTCCTTCCGTTTATTTCCGATACACACGTCCCTTAATGTGGATCCGGTATTTGTTAAATATTGTTATTTTACAACAAACGACCTTATACAAATTTTAATATAGTTTATAGCTTTTGCACGTCTCCAAGATAGGCTTGGTCTTTGCTAACTAAATTTTTATGTTGTTAAATAATTATATATATGTATATGTACTGTGCTTAGTACAAGAAAAACTTTTATATAATTTGTCTGATTTTATGCAAGCCTCCCTCCCTCCCCCTAAAAAAAAAATGAATAACATAGATTTATGATTTATTTCATACGGCTGTTAGAAAGAAAACGAGAGGACTGAATTAATGACTTATCGATGGCATCGAATCTATCTCTAAGCTTGGCTAAACTATACCATTGATGAGCTTAGATTGGTGCTGAGTTTAGGAATTTACCATATTTTAAACATAGATCCGATGGAGCCGGCTGTCTCGATTATTGTTATTAACAACCTTTTTTTTCGTTTTTCGGAGTAGAAGATATTATTTTGTGATGCATTCGATTTCTTGTTTGATTAGCCCAACATTGTACTATTATACTCATTATTATTCGCTATTTAAGTATCAATGACTCTTAATTTTTCATTAACTCCAGATAAAATTAGTTATACAATATAACATTTATAGAAATTTTATAGACTATACTAAAAATTTGATAAAAAAATTTATGGAAATTCACCTTGAACAGTATCAATCGACACCTGCATTCCGTTAAAATTTTGTTGATGAGGGTTTGTCGTACTCAGCTTTATTTTCCAGTTCGTAATGAACTAATACTTGTAAATAATTCTGGAATTATATCATACAAATGAACACATTTTATAGCTGAAAAGATTAGAAGTTATCCGACACCTATTTCTCAATAGCCAAGATTTCCTAAGCACATAAATTCTCTAGTCTATATGGGAAGTTTGTAGGAGCCAGCTTTCTTCTCCCTCTCAAAGGTATCGAAATCCCGAAAAATCTCAAGCTAAGTGTGTACAACGCTATGAAGCCAGTTCTATTATATGGCTGTGAGGCCTGTACACTAACCAGCACCCTAGAAAATCTTGAAAGATGTGACAGGAAAATCCTCTGCACGGTAACCGAAGCGATCTGGGATCAGAGTACTAACAGAGAACAGAGGGAGAAGAAAGACCAATAAAAAAACTACTTACAGAAACTGTTCAATCAATATCCCATGACATGAAGGCATGGAGGTTAAGATGGGCGGAGCATGTAGCTCGTAGCAATTTATCTTTAAGCCTCTACGTATCAATGGATGCCTCAATAAAAGGCCAAAGACCACATGGAAGGACAAAAAGCCAATAGATAGATATAATCAATAAAGATGCAATAGAGTTGCGTTTTGATAAATGGAAAGAAATAGCCCGAGAAGGCTTGTTAAGGCGGCAAAAGATCTATATGGTCTGTAATTCCAATGGGAATAAAAAATAAAATACTGTTAAAATAAATATTTTAGCAGAGGAGGACATTTCTAGTCAAAGCCATTCCCAATTGGAAAAAACGTTCTAAAACCAACCTGTACTTATTTTAACCTTAAACGCCTTTATTTGGAGAGAGCAAAATATTCTTTGTTATTATTACTTTTTATTTAGGGAAATCCCTTCTTTCACAGCATTTGCTGGTTACAGCACATTGCCCGTACTTTAACCTCAAGGTTAGGCTAAACAAATTAATCTGTTACATTCATAAATTTACGAACAATACTGGCTGTACCGAGTAACACCGCTTTCTGCATCAGCTTCAAACTATTCATCGAAAGGCCTAATTCCTTCGTGGAGGCCACTGTTATGTCCGGAATCAGACCATCTGCAGAGATGACCAGCGGCAAACTCTCACTTCATCAAGTTTATATAATTGCTTGAGCTCCACACCAAGGTCTTGATATTTGCGAATTTTTTGCGCAACTATCTTGTGAAGGTTGGCACCCCTATTTCGACAATCCTTGAAACTACCGTAAATAACTAATCTGCCATTACCAACACTGTCGTTGCCATTGTCGTGACCATCCTGGTCTCTTTCAAGATTTCCATTTATAAATGTGGTCGCTAACAACATTTTAGTGCCTTTTAACTTTTATTTTTTATTATCATCATTGTTGTTCGTGATAACTCGTGGTTTGGACTACTCTTATTTTAATATTAATTATATTCAGTGATCGACTGTGGAATAGCAACTATTATAACCTTTAAACTATTTTTATTTATAAGGGTTTGGATGTCTATAAATCTTGTACTATAATTTAGGAGTGCGCCGAAGTGACATTCCCGTTGTAGTAGAATAGAGACAGAGCTCTGACTAAGTTTGATGACGAATCTCTTCTCATCTGCTTCACAAATCGTAACTTTCTCTTGGTACGGCTTTCCTTTAGCCTCGTTCAACATGCTCCGGTTGAATATTCCTGTTATTTTCTTGAGATTTGAAAATATCTCTCGCTCGTCAAATTAATGGTTACGTTAAATTAGCGAAGTTCGTTTTACTATTCTAAGTTTTAAGCTACCGTAAAAACGGGACGGACGACTTAATAAAGGTGTAACCAAGAGTAGACATTTATTACTCCAAAGTTATAATAATTTATTTAGTGCCATAATGAAAAACTGATGGGTTGACTAAATTTATCTATAGAACTGGAAAATAGTTATCTAGTTGAAGCGAAACGTTTTTTTCTGGAAACTGCGAACAAAGAAGTGATTCTAGTTCTGTATGAACCACATAGTTAATAATTCCCTTCTATATCCTATGTTACATTTCAAAGAATATATTCATAGAAAATAATACTTATTAATTTTTTAGTTGATACTTTTTCTAGGTATTTTTGTTTTTTTTTATAATTGGATCTTTAGATAAAGTAATTAGATTTATCCATTTTCAAATCTTAACCGTCTATCAATAACTGTCACATTTTTCGCTAAATTAAATGTAATTGACACAACGATACAGAAGCTTCCTTCTTATGACATTCGCAGATAAATTTAATCTCTCTTCAAATATGTTTAATGGTTGCTTAAATAAATACATTATTTACAGAGGTTATTTAATTTTAAATTTGACATGAATACTGCCCACATTTTTTTTTCTGTTATTTTTTTATTCACTCAAAGGCATTCGGTACTAATTTATGATGCTCGGAGTACTAAAAATATTTCAGCATATTAACAAATCAAAGCTAATATTTTATTTTCTTGTTGGAACCTTCCTTAAAATATACAAGGCCATGAAAAGAATCTTATCGTACAATGATAAACAACAATGGTCAGTTGATCAGTTCACTACGATGTTATTTTATTATTATTATTTATTTTTTTTTACTTCGTGTGTTTATATAGATGTATTATTTCTACGTTTCAATCATTTTTTTAGAATTTTCTTAATAACGGATCTATAGATAAACTCAAAAAATAGATTGAATGTACAATTAAATGATTCTTAATTTCAAATTGGATTTTATCTTTTCATCTAAAAGACCTTCGAGATAGCCTGACTTGACTTAAATATCGAATTTTTTAAAATTATAAACTTTATATAATTAATATTTATTTAATTAATATTTATATAATTAATTATAAACCCCTTTAAATAATACCTTATAAAGCTACAGATTAAAATAAAAATAAATTCGTTGAAGTTAGTGACGGAAAACAAATCACCGATTTTTTCTTAAAATAAATATTATTTAATAGAAACTTAATGTTTCCATGGATTCTAAATTATTTCCTTTCAACTAAATGTAAACATTTGCAATAATGTTCAAGCTTGACCTACTAAAAATATTTAATATCTCGAATATAAGGTTCAAAATCGAATATCTTCTTAAAATCTATTTTATCGCTATTTTATGAGAGCATATTAAAGCAGGGTATTGCCGCTAAAAATATTTCAAATAGTGTTCAAATCAAATATGACAATTTAATTACTTAAGCTCCTATAATAGATTTTAATAATTATCCTGTTCAAACAGTGATTTAAATATTAAATATGGTGGTATGTGGAAGTAATATGATGCGCACGGCGTACCAGTTTTTTTTAGAATATGTTAGATAGTTTATGGAACATGTTTTTGACCACAAAGGCCACAACACTAGCTTGAGCCTAATCATTAATGTTTTATCATATAACAGCAATATGTAGTAGTATGTGGTTTTGATAATTCTAACGTAATGTAATCAAAACAGGACAGAATGGACTCGTTATCCAGGATGTTGGCAACCGATTCCAACCAGATAGTTGTTAAGGTCAAGATTATTCCGTTGCGTTTCAAAATTTTAAATTACTGCATTGTGTGCGAACTGGTAAACATAAAATGATAATGGAATTTGATGATAACCTTTAACAAAAAATTTGTTGACCTTTGTGTAAAGATTAAGACAGTTCATTTAATCCAAAACGTAAATCTATTTTTTTTTTCAAACATATGTGATAAACATTTTAGAAATTGCGAAATATATTGTTTTTAACTAGATTTGTTGCGACTTTTTAATTTAAATTTGAATAATTGAAAGGTATATTCAACAGAGAGACGACTAACATCGCGAATGTTCCCTTTTTGGTAGGAAATTAAAAAAAAAAATGCTGGATCGTGTAACAATCAGTGATAATTCTAATTTTTCATAGAAAAGGCAAATTAAATAAAAAAACCAAAGATCTTCCTTCATTAGAGAAATTATAAACTTAGGGGGGGAAGTAAAAAAATAACGGTATGGTTAGATCTTGACTATTTTGCCGAAGATGGGAGACCGATACGAGTCTTCATCTTGTCATGGTCTTGTCTTGCGCAAGACTATCACACAAACTTGGAGTTACTTATTAGCTTATCATGATGGAGATATACCGTATTTTTTAGATAGCAGAAAGCCTAACTAAGCTCGAATGAACAAATGAAGGAATTCAATCAAAAGTATATTGGTTATACAATTATTAACATATACTACTAAGATTGTCAAGTATTAGTTAACTATTTTGTTTAATTTTTTATTTTAAAAATCATTTTTTACTCATCCTGGTCTTGGTCTTGCTACAGTTAGGCTGCCTTGCTCTTGGTCTTGCAAAGTGGAAGACAAGACCGATTTGGGTCCATTGCAGCATATTTCGGACAATGAAAAAATCTGACTGCGGTTTTTTTTTTATCAAGAAATGGAACATAATCTTAACTTATATTGTAATATTTTTGTTTTATACTAGCTTTGTCCTACCACGTAATACTGTGAATCAGTCTGGCTAACTGGAAAGAAAAAAATAGAAAGCATACTATACGTATTTGAGGAGTATCATAATACTTTCCCTACTTAATGGGAAAACATATAAAAATTGTATGTCAGTATTTACCTCGATATGGAGTACTTAACTCCTCACTTCTTCAAATTATAATCTCAATTACTTGAGTCAATGTAAAGTTTTCGATTAATCAAAACCGAAGATAGAAGAAATCATCTTTGGTAAAGCTTAATGCTTAAAACACTGTCTGTTCGTCTGTGCCAAATTGTCTGATTTCGATATTTTTTATTAATTTTGTTGAGAATTCAGGAAGTTTTCATATATATGGGTATCGTCAATAAAAAATTGTGTACTTTTTTAGTTATCCGCAAATATATTTCTGAGTCTATCGTAACTTTTTCCCTCCTCTTTTCCGGTGAAGCGTTGTTGTTATACATTAATTAAAGGGGTTTAAGAGAAGAACTTAAGCCAAGTTTCATTAAAACCGTTCCAGCTGTTCAGGCCCTACAGTCTATAGCGACACACGTTTTTCAGCCGCCTTTCCAAAACAAAAGGCCGAATGGTAACTAAATGTATAAAAAAAAACACTCCTGAATCCGATAGAAACGATTTGACAAAATTCCAAAGCAATCTGTGAAGAAGTTTCGGAGATTAGAGGTTACGTACATTTTCATTTTTATTTTTATATATATGGAAAATTCGGTTCTTGGGAAATGTTTAATAATTTAACAAATATCACTAATGTTAGTGCTAAAGGTCTTATGTAACAATTTTACGTTTTTATGCTCTTAGCGCTAAATGTGACATTCTGCAATCTTCAACTGCTATAAGTAGTCTACTGAATAGGAAAATTAAATATGAAATTATACAAATAAACCTTAAAGAAATAATCGGTTTTTATTATGATTCTCTTCTGTAAGAAAAAATCAA